TAATAGGTGGAGAAGATCCCAAACTCTTTCAAGTCAACAGCTCATTACATGAAAGCATTCATTCCACCCCTACATGTGGAAACACATGCTGATTTGCTTTCAAGTACAGAATCACTGGCTGAAGCACCAACTTGTAGAATACTGTGTGTTAGAAAATCTAAGGATTATAAGCCACCTAAAGACTTGTTTTACGAAATTTCGGTGGAAGAAACCACAGTTGGATATGTACCTTGGGTCGGGGATCTTATAGCCCTGACATATGTGCAACTGAAGTGCATTGATGATTTAAGGAAGACCCAGCAATCCTATCATGTTGCTTTCGTTCATGCCGTGGAAGGGGGAAATCGTTTGACACCCTCGATTCTGTCTTCGAAGCCCATAGTGGATGAAGAAGGCTTGAACAAGGGAACACTCTTTGCTGTTCATTTGATAAATCTGACGACAAATTTGCGAATATGGAGATCGTTGCACTTGGAACTCGAAGGGAGGAACATGAACGTTATTAAGAAAGTGCTGCAAAAAAATTTCAATGTAAGAACTATGATTCTGGTTTCTTGATTCAGCATCTCATTTTTGTAATCCCAGCTTTGAAGATGGAAAATTTGTTTGTTGTATTCATTTTTTTATTGAGCTTGACTGCATTTACAACTGATCTCATGCAGGATGGTGGAAATTGTTCTATTTGCTCTTCTAGTAAAATTAGTGATGCTGCCTCTGCCTGTATAAGGGATACATTACAGACTTTTAATTTAAACAGCTCGCAAGAAGCTGCGGTTTTAAGCTGTATTCACACAGCCAGATGCTGTCACCATTATTCTGTCAAATTATTAAAGGGTCCTCCAGGAACTGGGAAAACAAAGACAGCTAGTTGCTTATTACACTCACTATTAAGAATGAAATGCAGGACACTTGCATGTGCTCCAACTAACATTGCAGTGTTAGAAGTTGCAGCTCGTGTCGTGAGTACAGTTGCCGATGTAGTTGGATACGAAACTTATGGCATGGGAGACATAATTCTGTTTGGGAATCGGGAGAGAATGAAGGTTGATGGTGATCAGAATGGCCTTCTTCATGTATTTCTTGATCATCGTGCTGATATACTTGCGAAGAGCTTTGATACATCAACTGGCTGGAAACACAGTTTAGCTACATTGATAAGTTTACTTGAAGACTCTGAAGCGCAATACCATTTGTACTCGCAGGATAACATGGGAAAGGAAGGACTTTTGACTTGTGAGCGATTCGTATGGGAAAGATTTAATTTCTCCGGAAAGCATTTAAAGTTCTGTATTGTGAATTTGTATACACACTTACCGACTACTTTGATTTCATTAGAAGTGATGAGGATCATGACCAGGGCTCTTGATTTGATGACATCACTTGAAACCTTGTTGCTTAGTTTCAGTGCTGCCAATGAAGGTTTAAAGCAGATTCCAGGGGAAAATGAAGATGAAGAAAGAAGACTTCATGATCGTATAAAGTTGAGAAATGAAAAAAGGGAATGCCTCAATATTCTACGCTTACTTTCTCTAAAATTTCAGGTTCCAGAATTCGCTGATAAAAATGCTATTGAGAAATTCTGCTTATCAAATGCGTGCCTGCTTTTTTGTACCGTGTCAGGCTCTGCCAGGCTGCATAGTATAAGAATGGCACCTCTGCACTGCTTGGTGATTGACGAAGCTGCTCAGCTCAAAGAATGTGAATCAACAATCCCCTTACAACTCTCCGGCCTTCACCATGCTATTCTCATAGGAGATGAACGGCAATTGCCTGCCATCGTTAATAGCAAGGTTTGGATTTTCCTGAATGGTTCTATTCCTCTATCTTTTGATGCCATCAAAACCTTTTACTTTTTCATACCATAACATGTTTAAAATGCACCACTATTAGATTTCAGAGAAGGCTGGTTTTGGTAGAAGTTTGTTTGAGAGGCTCGTAAAGCTGGGATGCAAGAGCCATCTTCTAAACATTCAATATCGAATGCATCCATCAATAAGCTTATTTCCGAATACGGAGTTCTATGGAAGGCAGGTTTTGGATGCGCCGAACGTCAAAGAAACTGGCTACAGGAGACGGTTCCTCCAAGGAAACATGTTCGAATCCTACTCTTTCATAAATATAGCCCATGGAAAAGAGGAAGTTGTTGAGAAACAGAGTTTCAAAAATACAGTCGAGGCTGCTGCTGCTGCTGATATAGTTGGGAGACTTTTCAAAGGTTCTATTTAGAAATATCAGATGTTTCTGATGTATCTATAGATTTACAGAATTCTTTTGACTTCATGTTGATGTTACAGATATTAATGGCACTGGGAAGAAGGTTAGCATAGGTATCATATCACCATACCAGGCTCAAGTTCATGCAATTCAAGAGAAGATTGGGAAATTCATTTCAGACTCTGACAGTGCCTTTTCTGTAAGTGTTGGCACGGTTGATGGTTTTCAGGGTGGAGAGGAGGATCTGATAATTATCTCTACTGTTCGAAGCAATGAGAACGGATCGGTGGGTTTTGTTTCGAATCCTCAACGAACAAATGTGGCGCTGACTCGTGCAAGGTACTAAACAAGAATAGAGGAAACATCAGCAGCTCAAAAGTTTCGTTTCCTTTTTTTTTTTTGTCTCTCCATTCCTATTTGAACTTGTATATTTTCTCGTGTGGAGGTTTTGCCTCTGGATTTTAGGAAATGAAGCAACTTTAGTTAAGAGCGGCTCTATTTGGAAGAAGATAGTCAACGATGCGAAGCATCGGCAATGCTTCTATAATGCTGAAGAGGATGACAGTTTGGCTCAGGCTATTACAGAAAGCTTGATCGAGCATGGCCGACTGGATGTTCTACTACAAACTCACTCCCCATTGTTCCGGAATGCAAGATGGATGGTAAGCGTATTAGTTCTTAGCAAGTCTTGAATATTTTTTTAAGAAATATTGGATGAAAATTCCAACCAGGTGATGTTTTAATAATTGTTTATTAAAGATAAAACATATTGATATAATATTTAATATAATTCGATAAATAATCTAAATTCATGGAAGAAGTCATTTAATTGTATAAGGAGATAACAAGAATTACAATAATAAAAAAAAAAATCATTTACTTTTTGCAACTCTCAACTTTTCTCTTTTTTTTTTTGTTATAGTACTTCAATGAAAATATTATTTGTTGTCTTTAAAAACTCATTCTCTCATATATTTTTTATATATTTAGCTCTAAATACTTTTTTATTTCTTTTTTATTTTGCTCTTTAACTTATATCTTTATTTATAAATATAAATGGTCAAACAATTTGGTCATAACTTATAGCATTAATGGTGGTAGTATATTAGTTACATTATTTCATTTTATCTGGTGCAATTTGTTTGATAACACCCACCCATAATTATAACCTTTTAACAATTATATTTTTTCTTTTTTAGAGTAGGCTGTAAATACTGTTGCGCAGGCAACATCCCAACAATATTAACAGAATATACAATAGTTGCTGCTCTGCTGATCCATGGACGGGAGCAAGCCATTCTTCGGAACAGATATTACTGCTTCTTAGCCCACATTTTTGTCATGCACCGGTGCCAAGTATTAATTAGCTTTTCTTCACTTGAATACAGATTTTTTTCAGTGATGATTTCCGGAGATCCATGGCGAGAGTTAGGAATGTCAGAATCTGTAAGGAAGTGCTTTCCCTATTAGCCAAGCTTTCAAATGGTTGGCGTCAGCATCAGTCTCGCAAGAAGAGAAGCCTAATGGTTCACAATGGCATTTCTTTTCCACTGATAGAGCAGTATCATGTCAGTGCACAGCTAAACATGATCTGGACTGTGGACATTCTGCAGGAAAACTCATTCTGCATTCAAGTTTTGAAGGTTTGGGATATTTTACCATCATCTAATATACCAAAACTAGCAACGAGTCTCGACACCTTATTTCGGAATTACACTAAGGAGCAGATGAATCGCTGCTTATACAAATGCATGGAGGGGTAAGTTAACTGCAAGAATTTCATGGTATTTTTCCTTGGGATTCAAAATGTTGCTCATCACTTTTCCATTTCTGCTGCAGGAATTTGATTGTTCCAATGAGATGGACAGTGGACACTTGTAGTGACCGTCAGGGCAGCTGCGGTGAAGCCGATGCTGTGCAGCTGCGGAAATCACTTGCATCACTCTGTCTGGAGGATGAACCAAGCACAACTGGTAAAGCTGCCAGGTATGCTACAGTTCTAGCTGGTGCCACCTTAGAATTTATCTCTGCCTTAATGGTTTTTGCAGGAAATCGCATCTAACATTAGTTTTTATGCTGACTGTGATCAGAAAACAACGAAGACTCAAAAGGGATTAGCCAAGAACCAGCTTACAACTCCAATCCAAAGAAGTAGAAGTTCTTGAAGGGCAAGGACAATGATGCCTCTTTTACATTTCCAGCTTCTAGCCAGAGAATTTCTCTCTTGGCCTTTGAAACTCATGAATGTAACATTACAGTAATTTCTGATATTAGATTTCTTCAACTAATAATATTATTAATAATTATAATAATAAAGTTTTTATTTCTTATGGATGAAGTTCCATTTCCTCATGTGTTCTGGCAACTAATGGCACCATACAACTCATTTTTTTCTTGTAAAAAACATAGTTATTAAAACCCAACTCGGCCTAATAGATTGACCTTGCAAGTTTGAGATTCAAAATCTAACTCAAGTTAGGTTTTATTTGAATAGATAATGAGTTACATTTCAATCATAGTGATATTAACTCGGCTAAACTTAAATAATCCAATATGTTGACCTGTTACTTGATTGATTTGAAGCAACTCGGTCCAAATCCAGTCAAGTCAATATTATGGAATCTTTTTCTTTGAAAAAAAAAAAGTAAAACATCATCATTTTGAAAAAATTAATAAATTCAGATTGACATGATAATTCATGGGTTGACCAGTGATCTACTTGCCGTTGCCCAATTCAGATTAACATGATGATTCATGGGTTGTCCCGGTAATCTACTTATCCAGCCCTAAATCAAATCAGACCTGGACAACTATGATCAAAAGTAATTCTTAATTTGAATGAAAGATTATTTCAGCTATTCAGATATGATAATGATGTTATATGTAGAAGCTCAAGCTTTGAAAAACAAAAAAGAGTGGAGAATAAGAGATCACTAACTAATCTTCAAAAATTTATGCTTGAAGTAGCATGGAAAGCAACCAGCAATTGCACCGTACCAAAAGCTGTGCCTTCTGTCATCTGCCTTACTCTTCTAACTAATCTTCATACCTAGTTTGATGGTAGATTATTGATGCTTACTCTGATGCAAAAGTGTGCAATCTGCATTTACCACCATATTCAGATTTATTTATTTACAATTACCTCCTTTAGCCCTTTGTTTCCCATCACCATCTTTCCATAAGCTCTCCATTCCTCCCCTCCCAAACTAATGGCTTTGCTCCATGGTGATTATTGATTGCCCCAAGATAAAGGAAACTGTGGTTTTATTTACTCTCTTTTGCTCTTCTGAGTCTTAGATTCAACCCCTGAGGACAAAGTATGCCATGCAATGAGCGGCAAATACATTCAATTAGGAAACCCAATTCTATAACTGAAAGGAATAAATAGAAATGAAGATAATCACTTCATGACAATTGACTTGTAGGGACAAGATTTGAATCCAATACTTTAGTAGAAAATTTGAAAGTACAAAAACACTCCCCAAAGTGTTTTTTGTCATGTCCATAATGCCTGTCCCAAAATATTACTATTTTGAAGAGTCAAGCATTAATATTATCATGACTGTCCCAAATTTACCCTATATATGTCGTTCTCTAAGAGTTAAATGCAGAAAGCAATAACTGCAAATTGGACTTTAATATCCTCAAGAAGACTTCATGGGAGCATATCATATGTGTTCAACTAGTGGACGGTGTTTGCCAAGTCTGAACAGGTGCTATCACAATCCAATAAATGCAAGAATAGGAATATACCAGAGATATAACCTCATCATAAACTGGAAATCTAGGGTAGGTAAAAGTAGTCTCCCTGTAACATTTACAAATTGATTAAATAGTTGGTGAATCATATTACATAAGATATATTAACAGATACTCTATAGAGATGATTTTTATTATTGGTGTCAAAGAATCATCTCAACCTAATAGATTAAGCTTTTAGATAAGATCTCAGAATATAATTTATATTATTCTCTAATACACCTTCTCAAGTGAAAGCTATTTGGGTCTGAAACTTGCACAGGTCTACATTAACTTGTGCTAAATTTTTTTATAAAATAAATAGAGATGGGTCTACATTACCTTGTGCTAAATTTTTTTATAAAATAAATAGGAATGGTGAAATTCGAACTCATGACCGCTTAGTCATCAAAGCTCTGATACCATGTCAAAGAACTATCTCAACCTAATAGCCTAAGTTTTTAGATGAAATCTTATAATATAATTTATATTATTCTCTAACAATTGAGTTTCTCAAACATGAGGAAAACCATGATCTCAGAAATGGCCATCTAAAACAGTTCAAGAGTTTCACAAATAACTTCTGCAAAAACATAAACAACAAGACATCTCATTTTGATTTCATGAAATCAGAAAACTGATCTTTATGTCATAAAGGCCATAAAAATATCATATTTCTGTAACGGTCCATGTATAAAAATTCATAGACCAGGATATCTACAATTTTCTTTTGAGAACATTTGTCAAGTGATGAGGGCATGAAAACATCAGAAACTTACAAGGAATTCACTTGAATTCTTGGGGGAACAGCTATCTTTAAGATGGAGATGATAAACATAAAGTCAGGCCGGTTGTAACTGGTTATAATTTATGAATCGGTGGGCATTAAAAATAAATGTTGAGGATTTGCACATTTGAAAAGGACAAAAACTAAATTACCATGAAAAAAAATCAGAATAACTTACATCGGCATCAAAAATAACTTTCCTTCTAGCTTGCTTCATGGACAAACCTCCTTTCTCAACAGCTATTGTTTCTTTCTACTCTTTACTTTTTGAATTTCCTGACAGTGTATTCATCTTTCTTGAAGCTCTCAACATTGCCTCTGCTATATCAAGAGTTGTGCCTGAATTTCTCTTCGGTTTACCTTCAACTGATTTCAACCTTTTGGCTTTGTACCTCACTGAATGTCCAGAGACCGATTTCTGTATCGGTATGTTTATCAGATTTGTCACAGATGCAGTGCTTTTCCTATGTCCAGAACCAATGAGATTAGCATCCAATGTCTCCGTTTCTTCCATGGATGGACTAATGATATTTGCTTCCGCACCTGACCGCATGCTGGAAAACACAGAGTTTTCCACGAGACATTTATCAGATTGATTTAAAATATCAGAATCTCCCCGAGTTGGAGATATAGAAAGAAACGGCCCTTGTGTAGTATTATTTTCAATGCATCTTAGCATAACCTGAGGGTCTTGAGGCAAAGATGGCATTGAGAAATCACTTCCACTCTTCAGTCCATCCTTGTTTCCCTCATTTTCCCTTTTCTTTTTCTTTAAACTCGAGATCACTTCTAAGGATACAGCCAGTACCACACCTGAAGTTCTAACAGACAGTGTCTGGTCAAAGTTTGATTTAGTGATATTGCCCACATTATAATCCGTGAGTGCTGAGCATTCCCCCGATGCATCATTCTTGATGCTGATTCTTTCTAAACTACTTGACCTTTTAGCCATCAACTTTCCAAAGGACCTGGTTTTGCTTTTCTTGCTGCCTATCTTTTCAGAAGATAGTGCCACATCCACATGGTGACCAGAAGGCTTTGCTGGTACCACCACACTATCTTTCACCCAACTTACATCATTTACACGACATCTCGATAGTGGTGAAAGATTCTTTTGAGTCATCATTCTTCAAATTATTAACACCATCATCTACTGGCAATGATAAGAAAATAGGCCGGCATTCATTTTGAGATACCGGAGGCTCTGCCGCGCTTTCACAGTTACTATTCAGAAACTTGGTTCCACATTCTTCCCAATCAGGAGGAAAGCCGAAACAGAAATGCCGAAAGACCTGTTGCAACATAGATTTAACCTAACTTAAAGTACGATATGATGTCGAAAAACAAATAATATTAATAAACACGAAAAAAATAAGGAAAAAAGAAAACCTGAGAAGAAAATCCATTTTCAACAGTGAGTGTCCTGTTAATATAACCTTGTAGAAGAACATTGACGCCATCAGCTGTCTGAAGAGTGAAAACATCGTATCTTTTGGTAATTGCTGCTGAGTGAAACACACGAACAGGTTTTTTCCTGAAATATTTAATAATTAAAAAATAATAATTATTTACAAAGAAATCAAAGATTATAAGAGAGATAATGTAAAAATACATAATTACTCAGGAGAAGTTAAGCCGGCAACAGCAATTTTCTTCCCTTGGAACTCCTGCTCGGCTTTGATCAACCACCAGTCATGTAACAACACCTATTTTTTCCAAAAAAATGATTAAAATTGGAGACATTATCAGCATCGTAGTGTAAAAGCGGTGGTAAAAGAAAGCAGTGATTAGTAACTAACTGTTTTCTGGAAAGATGAGGTGGCGGCTTCGGTAGTCATCTTGATACTGGAACATGGGATGAAGGTGAAGAAATAAGAGAGAAGCGAAGTGACCGTTGAGAAAGAAGAAAGAGAATTAGGAGCCATTAATAAAATCGAATTGGGGTTTCTTTTGATCACAATTATTAAAAACGCTGTCGTATAAAGGATAGTTAGACACCGCTTGTTTGTTTTTGCGGTAACGCTTCTGAAAAAAATTAAGTTCTTTTTTGCTTTAATTATTTTTTTATATTTTTATATTTTTTTGATTTGTTAATATTAAAAAATAAAAAATATTTATTATTTTAATATATTTTAAAACAATAAACCATTTAAAAAATAATTATTATTATAACATTTAACAACAAGTTCTAAATAAATCACATGAGTACCTAAAAAAATATATTTCTCCACTTAATTTGATTATTAAATCCAATCTAACTAAACTTAAATTAAATTTTAATTTAAATATATTTTGATATTAATCTAATGAAATTTAAGATCTAAGTTAATTCATTAATCTATTAATATTATTAGGTCAAAAGTTAAAACGAGATTTTTCTTAAAAACTTTTACGTCACCGGATTAGGATTAACCCTAACTAATCCGGAATAGGATGTCCGAGATGGAACAGGAATCCCATCGGCTTGCTGATCAATAGATTAGCAGCCTATATAATGAAGCACCTCCAGGGTTGAAATCTACTCCATTCTTTAGCCTTCCAAGAATTGATCGTTAGAATAATTAGGAGAAACCAAATTAAGCCATCTCTCCATGTCTCTCACGGAGCTCAAACGCTCTGCTAGTCAAGAAAATATCCATCATGTTTCTGTCAAAAGACTAAAACTCTTCAAGAATAAACTAGCATCCTATTCGCCATCGCCGTCTTGGGAGCTTCTTTTTCTAGTGGCTCAGTATCTAGACCCTAAATCCCTTGCTGCTGCTTCTTGTGTGTCCAAATCATGGCTGGAGTCATTCTCCTCTGAGGATATTTGGCGGCCGATATGCTCTGCTCACTACCCTTCTGTCTACAACCTCAAACACGTAGACCCAGCTGTCTCTTGTCACCGCCTTTACGGTATTGCCTCCACCGCAGCCGGTATTGCCTCCACGGCAGCCTCCAAGCTCCAGCTTCAAAAGCCAATAAAACCCCACCTGCCCCTAAATGACCTCCTCTTCGTCATCAATGCAAGGACCGGAGAGTCTTCCACTTTATTCACCCTATCGAAACCTTGCGATGAACTCCAGGTAGATCCTAATGGGATATTCAAGTTCGCTGTCGACGTAGATCTTGAGTCTTCACTGAAAAAGGAAGCGATACGGGAGATAAAAGTCACATGGAACGTTGTGTTAAGAGGTTGGAAAGCTGTATTTAATATGATGGAATCGTGTAGTGGAAAGGCCAGCCTTGTTCCGGAGGCAGAAGACTTGTTTTCCAAGGAGCTTCCATTGCCGGGGTGTTGCTCAAACATGGTCACCGCAAGCAGCCTTGTTGCTGAGATAAAGTTGGGATTTTGCAGTGAGAATTGTATTGATGAGGAGGAGGGTATAGAGGATGACGGCAATTTCAAGAGAGGAAAGTTGAGTTTGGCCATCATGAATACAAAACATTGGAGGTACCTAAGCATGGATGATGCTCTGAGACATTTGCAGCACTTTTTGCTGCCTTGCGATGCTTAAGTCGTTCTCATCTCTTCTCTGATCACTTCTGGGAAGCTTGCATGGTGGCTCCTCTGATCAAGATTCTTGCAGTTCTTTTTTTTTTATTCATTTTAGTTTTACAAGCCTGGCATTGTGTAGCCTGTGATACAGTTATTCGTTTTTGTTTTCTTCATTAATAAATTTTATCAGCAGTGATTTGTACTGTTAATATCTTTGATGATTCTGTCTTCCTCCCCGTGAAATCTTTGTTACTATCAAAATAATAATAATAAACAAAATCTCTGACAGCACAAGAAACAAGCCCTTTTCCCAAGAAAAAAAAAAAACACTTGCCATCGAATTCAGATATAATATAACTCAAAATGAGTCCCTGTAACTCCTGCATGTATAGCAAAAGCAACTCCAGCCATGCCAATAACTTCACCAGCAACAGGTTCGGGGTGTTGATGTTTTTTCTTCTTTTTCAAGGTACAAAAATATTCTTACCTAGTAACCAAAATATAGAATTGTTAATCAAGAACTTTATTGACTTTGCATAAGTTTCTTAATAGTAAACATACTATAAATGTGTCCGGCAAAAAAATAATAATAATTAAGAGTATTAACTTTTTTAACAAAACTATACCTAAAAACATTGGATCTGGTTGCTACGTCTAACCTAAAAGTTATATTTATAATACTAATAATAATATTAAACATACATGATCCAAGTTTAAATAAGTTTGGTTGCAACATCAAATCCAGAATCTTAGATATAGATCTGGTTGTAAGGTTGTGTTATAAAAATATAATAATTAAAAAGAAAAAAAATTTAATATTACTAAATGAAATTAAAAAAAGATTAATTAAAAAAATATAAAGCAAAGCATTATTCTGATAAATAGTGCTTTGCAAAGAGGAGCACAGTAAAATTCTCTCATGAGATTATAATAATCTAATGAATAGTAAACAAAACAAATTATAAAGTTTAATTCTTAATCAAATCGATATTAAAAGATAAAATTGAAAGAAAAAAACTACTTAAGAAAAAGAAAAGAACTACTTAAGAAAAAGAAAAAAAATCTGAATCATCTGGTTTAACCCTTCAAACCAGGTTAATCCGTCAAACCTGGGATTCATGTTATGAAATTAGAAGAAAAAATATTGATGCCTTTTAGTTATAGTTAATATCAATATTTAAAAATGAAATTGAAAGGAAAAAAACCAATGAAGAAAAAGAAAAGAAAAAATCTGAATCAACTAGATCAACCTACTAAATCGAGTCACAGGATTCGTGTTATGAGAGTGTGATAAATAAATAGAAAACTATTAACATTTTAGAAATATAAATTTTCTACCAATCAAATTTCACCATGTGTTATTTTATTTTTTAAAAGAAAGGATAAAATAAAATTGAAATCAATGACATGGAAAATAAATGAGCCTTCATATATTTATTGGTCAATAAAAAGTTGACACTTGGGATGAGATATTCAAGATATCTTGTCATAAATGCCAGATCTCTTCAATAAATATCAACAAATAAAATTATGCTATGTGGCATTGAAAAAGGACTTAAGAGCCTCTACAGATCTCTATAAATAAAGGGCCTCAACCTAAAGAAAAGAGGCTCGGAGATACAATTTTTCTTCAAGACAAACTCTTCACAAACTCTTCAAGCAAGAAAGCTCTTTCTTCAAGCAAGGAAGCTTTTTTAAAAGTTCTCAAGCCTCCTTCATCTATGCTTAAAGTCTACAAAGAATGAAACTTTGTTGGATCAAGCCTAAACGTTCCATAAGAGTTCTTCAACAACACTTTGAAGACAAATCAAATGTACTTTTCAAAGCATCAAATCACCAAATCTTATTAAGCTTTATTAAATTAAGCCTAAACGTCCAATAAGAGTTCTTCATCAACACTTTGAAGACGAATCAAAGATACTCTTCAAAGCATCAAATCACCAAATCTCGCTTCGCAATATACGCTCAAATTCACGTTCTTGCAAAGTACAAATCTTGACTTGATTTCTCAAATAAATTAAGTCATCATACATCGAATTCAAGGGAAGAATCAGAGGATTGTCTTGTTCTTTTGAAAGAATACATTACATAGAGATTGTATACGTTCATATATTTAATAAAATCATATATTTGTACATGTGTGCTTGTTTAATTTTAAGTGCTTAAAATTGTGTCTCCAAATTTCTGGTGACTCCACTGGTGAGATTTCTACCTCTCATCTCGTCCCTTCAAGAAAGAATTTTCACCAAACTCTCAATGGCAACTAGGAGGAACATGACCACCATTGTTGCATCCAAGAGCAACAAGGCTACTGATTCAAGTTGTCGACATATCATTGAATATTCTTCAACTCCAATATTGAAAACAAAATTCATCATCGAATTATATGCACAAACTAAGTCAACTCTTAAGTTGACATCAACTTCAAATGCAAAAAGGGCACAAGATCTTGCCTCAAAGATGAAGCCACAAGTAACTCCACTACTAAAGTCAAGTGGGGTGCGTGAAATTCTCTTTGACACCCAAGACGACTTCGACAATTCACCTATAAAAGCTTTTCCATGTCAATCACTAAGTAAGGCTTCGGGTTTTGGCATCATGTCAGTGATGATGACTGAGACAACATCTTTGAAGGATCAAGTGGCTAACTTGACAAAACTCATCGAGAGGCTTTCGACTTCACTCAAGGAAAAAGACCATAAGATAACAAAGTTGATGAACAATCTTGAGAGCATGAACGAAGGAGGCTAAACCTCGGTTACCAAGGCTTTACAAGTAGATCAATTAGATGTTATTAAGGATTCTACAATCAGAGTTCCAAGGAATATATGTGATATTATTGATGGTATCTTTACCATAAGCCAACTAAAATAACTTATCAACAAAGCCATCACGAACCAAGTGGAAAGCTCAGTTCAACCCTCATATTTTTATTTAAAGCTATACACCCAATGAATTGACCAGCTAAGGATGCCTCCGAACTATCAACCATCAAAGTTTCAACAATTCAATGACAAAAGGAATCATAAGCAATATATAGCTCACTTTGTGGAGATTTACAACAATGCCGGAACTAATGATGATCTCATGGTAAAACAATTTGTTCATTTCTTGAAATGTAATGCCTTCGATTGGCACGTTGACTTTGAGTATGACTTGATCGATATTTTGGAGCAGCTGGAGCGCAAGTTTTTTAAGCATTTTTACAGCACTCGTTGTGTGGTTAACATGATTGAACTCACTAATGCACGTCAATAGAAGGAAGAGCTTGTCATCGACTACATTGATCGGTGGAGAAACCTTAGCCTCAACTGTAGAGATCGGCTCACCGAAACTTTTACGCTAGACATGTGTATTCAATGGATGCATTAGGGACTACACTATATTTGAAAAGGTATCAAACCAAAGTCTTTTAAAGAATTAGCTACTTGAGCACATGACATGGAACTTAGCATTGCAGCAGCT